ATTTCTACTCAATTTGAACAGTATGGACATATGTAACACTACCTCCACTTTTACTCTGTATTCATCATCTTTACCCTTCTCTTCTATTATTTCATTACTTCTCATCTTTCTCCTGTATGTCCTGTATGTTTTCTAATGGTTTATCCAGCTTGTGCATGTCTGTAGTCTACTTGGTGTTATCAATGCCTTTGTACTATATACATGTTAGAAACATCTTGTGTTTAATCCTGTACTGTAAGAAAAGATTATATACATACTCATGTAGCCTCTAGTAGTAGGTAATGCTTTACATGTTAGTATAACACTCTAGGCTCTCAGAGATAAAAAATAGGATGTTAGTAACTGGAGTGGTTTTGTAGACTACACTTTTGCTTAGGATGACTCTCTTTATACTAAGGATTATGTAGCATTTGAGTATTTGGCAATATGTGCATTCACACAATAGATACACAGTTAATAGATCAGTCACAATGAAAATCATAGCTTAGTGTCTAAAGTAGTTCTAGTGTACACATGTATAGAGTAATAGTAATAGAAAGGTTCACTTAATTATGTACACACATTAGGGGAAGAACTGAAAGTAGTAACTTTAATAAAAGTAGTAATAAGAGACAGAGGGGAAGGAAATTAACTATGTGTAATTAAATGTTTATTAGAAAAACTGTCTATTTTATTTGTTGCTCCTTACTATTGTACTAATTCTATACACTGGTATAATAATTAGAGACAGAACAGAATTAGCAGAATATTCTCACAGGTAGCAGGTTTTACAGACAGGAATGAGACATGTCTCAGAAATTTGACTGTATTAGGCTTAGTACATACTACAAATAGTCTAGTTTTATGACTAATCATCGGACTTTAAAGATGTGGCACAGTCGTGAGGGGGGGGGGGTTGTCTTTACTATATAGATCATACTGGACTTTGGCCTGGGCATTTTCCTTAATTAACTATACAAGGTGAACTCTGCCAAATAGTAAAGTGACTGTTAGTATTATGACAGGAGGATTTATTTTCTCCTAATTCCCACGCTTTGTAACAAGCAATTTGTTGTTATACATAATTGCACCTCACAGCTTCACTCCTACTAGTAATAAATTGTATGCTATCTATTCTGTTCATTTAGAGACAAAACCCAGCAGGATTATAATTTGTGCTAACTTCTTACTATCAAGACCTAACTTTGCCATAAATTTCAAATTCAATCACCCTCTCTACTGCTTCTGGTGTATCCCTCTACACACAAAGGATGTTCTGGTTGCTTTGTCTTGGATCTACTCCTTTCTTATATACTGTAATACTATGTATTATAACTTAGTACAA